TCAGTGTTTTTAATTTAGAATTCAGTATTTTTTATTTAGAATTCAGTGTTTTTTATTTAGAATTCAGTGTTTTTTTATTTAGAATTCTTTCTTCTTGCTTCTTTCTTCTTTCTTGCTTCTTTCTTGCTTCTTGCTTGCTCCTTTCTTGCTTCTTGCTCCTTTCTTGCTTCTTTCTTTCTTCCTTCTTGCTTCGTTCTTCCTTCTTGCTTCTTTCTTTCTTCCTTCTTGCTTCTAGCTCCTTTCTTATTTCTTGCTTCTTTCTTTGTTCCTTCTTGCATCTTCCTTTGTTCCTTCTTGCATCTTTCTTTGTTCCTTCTTGCTTCTTTCTTTGTTCCTTCTTGCTGCTTTCTTTCTTCCTTCTTGCTTCCTGCTTCTTTCTTGCTTCTTGCTTCTTTCTTCTTTCTTACTTCTTTTCTGCTTCTTGCTTTCTTGCTTCTTTCTTCCTTCTTGCTTCTTTCTTCCTTCTTTCTTTCTGCCTTCCTGCTTCTTTCTTGCTTCTTTCTTGCTCCTTTCTTGCTTCTTGCTTTCTTGCTTCTTTCTTCTTGCTTTTTGCTTCTTTCTAGCTTCTAGCTTCTTACGTCTTGCTTCTTTCTTGCTTCTTGCTTCTTTCTTCTTTCTTGCTTCTTGCTTTCTTCTTGCTTCTTTCTTGCTTTCTTGCTTCTTGCTTCATTCTTGCTTTCTTGCTACTTTCTTGCTTCATTCTTGCTGTCTTGCTTCATGTCATGATGTCAGGTCATGATATGATGTCATGATATGTCATGATGTCATGTTGTGATGTCTTGTCATGATATTATGTCATGATGTCATGATGACATGATGTCATGTCATGTTGTCATGCCATGTCATGTCATCATGTCATCATGTCATGTCATGTCATGTCAGAATAGACAGAATACATTAGACTTAATTGATCCTACAGAGGGGAATTTCCCTTCTTACAGCAGCACAAACTCTTAAGAGAATAATTTGAAAAATAATAACAAAAGTACATGTATATACACATACGCTACCTCTGACCACTAAAAACCATGAATAAAAATGAAAAATGTAGATTCCAACACTATGCAGCATACTGTCATGGACACAGTCAAACTATGTAAATCTAGTATTGAACACATACTGAGTATTACATTGATGTCATTGTGTACCAGGATAAACTGAGGAGTTTTACACCCTTACTGCAGAGCGGATGAAAAAACTATGGAAGCATTATGTTTTACATCTGGGATGTCTCAGTCTGCCTCTGAAGGAGCTGTTCTCTCCACAATGGAATGCAGTGGGTGGGATATTTTTTTAAAAGATGGAAGTCATCTTCCCCAGCATCCTCTAATTTCCCAAAAAGTTATATGAATTAATCATCCATCCCTCTGCTACTTAGTTACACATTTAATCTTTCCACAGGAAAAATTGTTTGGTGTATCTGTTGCATCAATCAGAGAACTGACATCATCACTAAAGCTACCTGTTTCGTTAACTCTTATGAAAAACCTTAAAAGTATTAGAATTTCAAATTAAACTTGAAAGCGTTAACACAATTTTCTAAAAGATTCTGTAAAAACTATCCAGAGAAAGTTTTATGTAGTGTGAAATAATCTTCTACACAAGGAAAAACGCGTCAGTCATCCTCAGCAGCGAGCAGAGCCTCAGGCTACGCTGTCTGATGCCGAAAGCAATCTTGTCTTCAACTCACATTCAGAAAAGAAGGGGAAAAAAATACTTGTCTGTGTTCTCAGCTCTGGCAAGTCCGTCAGCTTGAGACAGCTGAAAAAGGCCATTTGAACCTGTGTGACTCCATCCTGACCCACGTGCTCTCTGCTTCACAGCTGCAGGAAAAACAAGGTTTAAACACTGAAGAGGGAAACTCCTCTATTCCACCTGCAGGCAGTGACTGTGGTTTTTAAAAATTATTTTAACTCTTTTTCCAGTTTGACAGAGTGTGCAGTCACAGAGGGGGTACAAGGTTGCTATTTGATTATGCTTCCACATTCAAAACAGATGTTATGTGTGGAAGTGGCTGCAAGGCTTGATGGAACTTTAAAAAAACAATATTTTCAGTGATCACAGTCAAGTGTTGCAAAAAAAACAAACAATAAAAAACATTTTAAAACCTAAAAATGCATAGTGTTTGGATACAGGCACTTTTAAAACAGAGGATAACAAGCTGGGTTTTATCTTATAGCTTATCTTTTACCTTCATCATTGTAATGTGAGGAAATATGGGTTTTCTGTGCCAAAGGTTGTACTTTGCCCGGCTGGGTCAAGAGCTGGGTCGCTGAGAACTTTCACCCACAGGTTGAGACCTTTGTCAACATGAAGTCTGCAAGAGTCTGCTGCAAACCATAACATCTGCCACCTGCAGTGCCAGAACATGTTGTTCTCATGGAAGCTAGTCATAACATAACAAAGTCTTAAACTTCCTTTTCTTTATCCATTCTTTCATTCTTTTGTAAACACAGAAACAGTTTTGTTTACCTGTTTGTAGCAATAAAACATACATAGGAGAAACCGGACGCCAACTCAACACACGAACAATAGAACACAGAAAGGAGTGCGAGAAAGAGGCAAATCGTAAACACACAAGAGCAGCAAAAGAAGAAGCAGAAAGTACAATAAAAAAGTCAGCCGTAACAGAACATTGCTTAAGAGAAAACCATATAATGGACTGGGACAACACACGGATCATAACCACCGAACAACAAAAATACAAAAGATGGATCAAGGAAGCAATAGAGATAAGGAGACGTGGATGTGGGACCATGAACAGGGACGACGGAGTTTACACGCTGGACCACGCATGGGACTGCATCGTCGGAGAGGGGAGAGCGGGCAGTAGAGGGCGACAACGTCCTCTGCTGCCCGCAGATAAACGGAGAAGGAAGTGATGCGCCACCATCAGCGTCAGCCTGAAGAAGCCGGCAGCCGTCGGCGAAACTGTAGCTACAAACAGGTCAACAAAACTGTTTCTGTGTTTAAAAAAGAATGAAAGAATGGATTTAGAAAGACACAGCAAGAACACACCTAAGAAGTTCCTTTTCTTTATATTAAATGTTGAATAATCATTATCATTTTGCTCATTATAAATGTGTTTTAATCAAATGAATGATTATTATGCTTTGGGAAATCATAATAACTAATGAATCAATGCTCAATTAAATAATGTTTGAAGATGTTTTAGTGGTGACCTTCACACACACACTCTCTCACAGTAAACTCCAAAACACATTTGCTCTGACGCACAAGTTTTGCTTTGAGAAGAGAAAGGCTTTTGGTAAGTTTTCAGTTCATGATTCAGTTGGTGTTTGACAACGAAAGAGGGAGGACTTGTGAACAACCGCCAACGGGGAACGGGGCTGCGGCTCCTTTCTCCCCCCCCCCCCCCCACGCTGTTCCTGCCAAGCCAGACAGGATAGCTGAATTACAACCGCTAACGCAGACTCGTCCCGAGTCTTTTGATTTCTGAGTAAATTAAACTTAAGAAAGCGCATCTGCAAACGCTTTATCATCACGTGTACCGAAGTCAACTCTGGACCGGAGCGTCGGACACCTTCGTCTTCTCTGCCAGCCAAGGTGCCCTGGATGAAACATCCTCCTTTGACGTCCCGGATCTAAAAGAGGGTCCGAATACGGTGAGGCAGTCCACGACAGATAGCGTTTGATGCATCTTTTCCAACGAAACCTAAGTTTATTCAAACCATCACTTTTCACTCAGACACCTGTTACTTCCTGAAGCAAAATCAGACGCACACACGCATTCATCTCACCTTATTCTCAATTTTCACACATTCAACACAAGGTCTATTTGAGCAAGTTTAAAATATCAACTGTTAAAGATTGTTCAACAAGGTTGCCAATGTTGATTGTTGTTTCCTATGCTTGTCATTTCAAAATCATTAGTTTAATTTGAAGAATTAAAACTTCTAACTTTCAAACTTGTCTCTTCATTGAACTGAAACACAGACCCACGGATATTATCGACAGTTTATCGATGAAAACAACCTTTGAGTCTTCTTAATTCTATAAAATGTGGTTATTAATTTATTAAAATTAATATCTCAAATTAATATGTAGAATGGTTCCTCTTTCATAAAAGAGCATAAACCATTACTCTACATAATGGAAAGAGCCTAGCCAGGTTCTCTACATCATGAAACGATAAAATATTTCACAACCCGCAGCCTCATATGTTAGAGGAATCTATTTCTATTGGGTTTTAAAGACATTTTAGACACATTTTACTCTGTTTGGATAATAAAATCTAGTCGGGACACTGTGTAAATCTGATTTATAGTTGTTATTAGTGTTGGAACTGAGATAAAACAATAACTGTTTGTTTCAGAGTGGAGGCAACGCTGCACCAGTGTACAGGGTTATAACAACACAACATGCTGCAGTTTAAATAAAGTATTCAATCTAATCCTGATCCTAAGAATAGCAGATTAATGAGCCAACCTAAACACACAAGCTGCTAACATCAAAGTGGCATGGAAAGTGTGTAATAGTTAAATGATGGTCAAAGTTACTCTGTTATAACAATTTAAAAAAAAAATAAAGGCATGAAATGCAGCACAAGAACATTTGAATAGAATTAAATCAATGTTTTTAAGAATCCAAGCATTCTGTGAAGATGTGAACATCCACCACTGGCTCTGATGTTAGTTTTGATCTAGATAAAAAATGATGGACTCACTGTGGTTTTGGCCCAATTAAAACATTCTGCACCATGTCACATATTATCACAAGATCTCATTTGATCTGTTTGACCTCCTGACTCCCAGCAACTATCATATCACATATCTGTAACGCTGACTGAGCCACATCCAGTGGATTAGCGATGGCGGCTAACTCCAATAGCTAATTTAGTAAAGAATTTATGAGTTTCCCAGAATTCCAAACAACAGAAAGGATCCAGACACAGGCGGGTCACGAAGAAGCAGTTTGAACTTGAAACTTTGAGTACAATCTTTGGACTGAACTTAAAATTAATTACTGGAAATAAAAAATGCTTTAGCATAAACGGACACTCTTTATTTGATCAAAGACGTATTCAGGTGCCACAAAGCAAATAATGTCTTTCTCATTCACACGTCATGCAACGAGAATCAATAAAGCTCAATAATTATGTTTATTATGCTTCAGTCACAGGTGTGTGTGTGTGTGTGTGTGTGTGTGTGTGTGTGTGTGTGTGTGTGTGTGTGTGTGTGTGTGTGTGTGTGTGTGTGTGTGTGTGTAGCGAATCTAAAGATAGACCGAGCAGATTCCTGGGAGAAAGTCTGTGGATTTGAACGTTTGCAGAGAAACTTGACAGGACTTGACTGGACTTGTGTAGAATAATAGAACGGCTTCAATGTCAGGGAACTTTTGTTTCTTCTTCGCCACTTTTGAAAGGTGTGTGTGTGTGTGTGTCAGGTGAATTTCAGCATGAGACAGGCTGTCATATGGATATCTGTGCATCCCTCTGTCTCTGCGGAGCTTCATCCTTCATTTTGAACTCATCCCAGTAGGCAGGATCTTCTTCTGTCAGAGGTGAGGCCGAGGCGATGAGCTCGTCGAACGACAGCAGTGTGAACGTGGTGGTGGGAGGAGGTGGAGTCTGGGACAAGTCAGACATGAGAGTCAGTCTTTTATGGTTCATTAAGGAAGAAATGACTAACCATTTAAAAAAGAAAAATCACACAGATTTATGATCTTTGACACATGCGAACCTTGTAACTAATCAAATATCTTAAATCTGTCAAATATCAAAATGTTATAATAAATAAAACGGAGTCTTAGACTGAAGGTGTCTCAGAAGTTTGCATCCCTCTCTAGTAAGTATTCAGTCATTTTAAGCCTCATCCCCTGCAGCATGTTGAAGGGCCAAAGGCAAAAGGCTCGTCTGCCCTTTATCCTTAATATGCACCGCTATATGCACCGCTTAAGGAGTTAGAATATAAAAGAGCTGCATATCAGTGTGCATGAATGAGGAACATAAATCGCTCTACAGAAGACCAATTACCATCTTCTCAGGAACTCATCAACACGTTAATTGTTATTTTACAGCAAATAAATGCCTAATAAATCATAATGCAGCTGCATTGAAGTGCAAAACCTCTTCAACATAAAAACTGTAACTTAAATAAAATAATTCTTACTGCAGTTCCTGCTCTGTCTTCTGGTCCAAGTGCTACAGCAACATGATGTTCAGCATCCAGCAGGCTCTCCTGCAGTAACACACACACACACACACACACACACACACACACACACACACACACACACACACACACACACACACACACACACACACACACACACACACACACACACACACACACACACACACACACACACACACACACACACACACACACGTCAGAAGGTGGAGATACACACATTTTAAAGTGCATGGTGGAAATGGCCATGTCAGTCGGTCCCACCTCTCCTCCTCGACCCTCTGAAGGATGAAACAAGAACAGCTGAGAGATGCATGAATGCTTCTGTCTGTAAAGCGTCAGACATATCTGTGTACCAAAGACTGAGGTGACATTTTCAAATGTCAGTCAAAAGAAATATCAAGCTGACAGTGGACGTTAAACCCCGTAAACGCTCCACACTCAGGTGGATAAAGACAATCATAGATGCAGCTGATCGTTGTGTTGGTTTCAGCCTTTTAAATCTTGTGTTCTAGAATAAATTTGAATAAAATTCATAAATCCCTTCATTTTCAGCTACTTATCATGTTGGAAGTACCTGGAAAACCTCACCAGGCAGGCATCCAGGAGGCATCCTAACTAGATGCCCGAGCCACCTCAACTGGCTCCTCTTGACGTGGAGGAGCAGCGGGTCTACTCCGAGCCCCTCCTGGATGACCGAGCTTCTCACCCTATCTCTAAGGGAGAGCCCAGCCACCCTGCTGAGAAAACAAATTTTGGCCCCTTGTATTTGCAATCTCATTCTTTCGGTCACTACCCAAAGCTCGTGACCATAGGTGAGGGTTGGAACATAGATCGATCGGTAAATCGAGAGCTTTGCCTTCCGGCTCAACTCTCTTTTCTCCACGACAGACCGGTACAACGTCCACATCACTGCAGATGAAGCACCAATCTGCCCGTCAATCTCGCGTTCCATCTTACCCTGACTCGTGAACAAGACTCCAAGATACTTAAAGTCCTCTATTTGGGGCAGGATCTCATCCCAGAAAAGGCTTTCTACCCTGTTCTTACTCAAGACCATGGTCTCAAATTTAGAGGAGCTGATTCTCATCCCTGCTGCTTCACACTCGGCTGCAAACCGCTCACGTGACATCCGGAGATCACATTCTGATGAAGCCAACATGACCACATCATCTGCACAAAGCAAAGACCTGATCCTTATGCCACCAAAACGGATCCCTTCAACACCTTGGCTGCGCCAACAGATCCTGTCTATAAAAGTTATGAACAGAATCGGTGACAAGGGGCAGCCATGGTGGAATCCAACTCTCACTGGAAACGAGCCCGACTTACTGCCGAAAATGCGGAACGAGCTCTGACACCGGTCATACAGGGACCTAACAGCCCGTATCAGAGGAACATCTTTGAAGTAATCTGCCCACCGATCCATAACGTCCAAAGAAGGGGTCAGCAGCACACGGTCACTATAAACAGTGTTGGTAGTGCACTGCTTTCCCCTCCTGAGGCATCGGATGGTGGACCAGAATCTCCTTAAAACCGTACGGAAGTTTTGCTCCATGGCCTCACTGAACTCCTCCCACACCCGGGATTTAGCCTCCGTGACCACCCGAGCCACATTCCTCTTAGACTGCCTGCACCTATCAGCTGCCTCTGGAGTCCCACAGGCCTAAAAGACCCAATAGGAGTCTTTCTTCAGCTTGACGGCATCCCTTACAGTCGGTGTCGACCAGCGGGTTCGGGGATTGCCACCACAATGGGCAGTTCTTTTGGAGGTGGGAATTGAAACTTCTTTTGACAGGAGACTCCACCAGACGTTCCCAGCAAACCCTAACAGCACATTTGCGCCTGGCAGGTCTGACCAGCATCCTCCCCCACCATCGGAGCCAACTCAACACCAGGTAGTGGTCAGTTGACAGCACCGCCCCTCTCCTCACCTGAGTGTCCAAGACATGCTGCCACAGATCAGATGAGACGACATTAAAGTCAATCATCGAGCTGCGGCCTAAGGTATCCTGGTGCCAAGAGCACATATGGACACCTTTATGTCTGAACATGGTGTTCATTATGGACAATCCATGACTGGCACAGAAGTCCAATAACAAAACACTGCTCAGATTCAGATGGGGGGGTCGTCCCCCAGCAGAATGAGGGAGTCACCAGAAGGTGCACTTTCCAGCACCCCCTCCAAGGTCTCCAAAAAAGGTGGGTAGTCTGAACTGTAGTTTGGTGCATAAGCACAGACCACAGTCAGAACCCGTCCCCCCACACGTAGGCAGAGGGAGGCTACCCTCTCGTTTACCAGGGTAAACCCCGTCTCTCAGTGGGAGCAACTCCAGAGTGGTAGAAATTCCAACCCCTCTCAAGTAAACTGGTTCCAGAGCCAGAGCCATGTGTCGAGGTGAGTCTGACTATATCTAGTCTGAACCTTTCAACCTCACACACCAACTCAGGCTCCTTCCCCACCAGAGAGGATCAGACCTCCAAGGTCCTCGCCGTCGACTACCACCCGTCACACATTTCACCTGACCCCTTTGGCCCCTCCCAGTGGTGAGCCTGTGTGAAGGGGTACCCACGTTTGCTCTTCGGGCTGTGCCTGGCCGGGCTTCATGGGTGAAAGCCTGGCCACACGCCAACGTGCCCAACCTCCAGGCCTGGCGACCCACGTCCAGGCGAGGGAACACTGTTTCCATTTGTCTTGTTCATCATAAGGGGTCTGTGGGCTGCACTTTATCTGATCCCTAACTCAGGACCCCTTTGCCATAGGTGACCCTACCAGAGGCATAAAGCCTCAGACAACTTATCTCCTATAGGATCATGGGGACACTCAAACCCCTCCACCATGGTCAGGTGGCAACCCAGGGAGGGCCCTCTATTGGAGCAAACAAACAGGAAATAAATGTATGATAGTGGATATGTCACATTACAAAAAAGACCTGTAGATGTCAAACAATCTACCAGACTCACTTCAAATAGCCACTCCCCTTCCTCCTCCTCATCCAAATGCATCTTGGTGAGGCGCAGCACCCGGCCCTGAGTGAGCGGCTCAGAGGACAGATGAAACTCCACCCTCTGCAGGTTGAAGCCCAGGCCGGTACCGATGGCCTTGATGAAGCTCTCCTTCAAAGTCTAACAGCAAAAGAGAGGAAATGTGATTACTTGTTTGCAAAAAGCTTGGAAAGATTTGAAGATAGTCTGTCTGCTTCTATAGGTGAGTGTGTCTGAGTGTGTGGTGGTAGCAAATACAAAAGATGAGCTTTGTGCCTGTAAGCAACCAGCCAATAAGCCACAATAACACCGATACAGGGCTAATCGTTATGGCAACATTGAGCTCCTTCATTTGTCAACGCTGTGGTAGTGATATCAGAGCTTGACATATCTGTGCCACCCCTCAATCTCACAGCATTTTTACTTAGCTCTGCTGTTACTTTTGGTGACCATCTGTGTGTGTGTGTGTGTCTCCAAGGACAAACTTTTATACAAGTGGAGACATGTGTCACATGTGGAATGCACAAATGTGCATTTGTCTTCAAGGATATAAATTTTTTTATTTTCTTTCTATTTATTTTATATGTATATGTATTTTCCTCTCCGTCTCTCTCTCTCTCTCACACACACATACACGCACACACCACTTGTAAGGGCCTGGTGGCAATGTGATGTGATGACAGGGTAGTAAGGTTGCTATGGTTACCCAGTGGCGGTAGAACATGGCGAGCTGCTGGTACTCTGAGCCAGCCGATTGGATGGTGCTCCACTCGTATGCTGTAAATTGTCGAGTCATGATGTGGAAAAACTCCAACACAGAGCGGCTGCCTTCAGGGAGGAAGCAGAAGGTCATAAAACAGGAAATACAAAAATATGGAACCCGCACCAGAAAATATTAATCTAAATGAGGTGGCCGCACACATGCACAAACCCAAATTTAGCAAAAACAAGCTTCTTTGAAAGCGATTGGGTTCATTATTAGGCAACAGCGGCATCTTGTGGCTGATCTGCAGAATTGCACAAGCCTTTACAAAAACTACTCAGTCATGTAGCTGGATTTATTTACATCAGAGGGAGTTTTACAGCAAACACAAACAATATTGTTTTGAATACAAACACCCAACTAAAATAAAGGCTAACAACTAGAACAAAAGGTTACTATTTTCTTTGCATGCTTCTGATACTATTTGCCGGTTATGAACTTCAGCATTCACCTGGCATTGTGGTCTTCATCACATCTACTCCAACCTGCAGCCCCTGCTCAGCAGCCAGTACAGCGTAGTCCCCTTGGTGGGAGAGGTTGAAGCTCCAGGACCGACCTGAATCTGAACTGACCTGTATTAATTTAACAATATCAATGAAAACATGATTTAGATTACCAGTCTTATGCAATCAACCAATCAAACTTTATTCCAGACCAAAACAATTTGTCCATATCATAAGACACCAAAGATAAAATAAGAAACAAAATAAGCAAAGGCAACAAATAAAACCCATTCTCATCATAAACTATATAGGTGAGGTGATTAAAAAGTCACTGTATGTTAAAGATGACAGAGCTCAGACTAAAATGTTAGTTGCACATGAATTTAACATCATCTGAGCACAAGTTAAAAGGCCAGAGTGTAAGCCTGCATGTACGGCTTACAGCACGGTCTCTTTATATCCTCATCATCAGTTCCTAGAACGAGCCCCAAGTGTTTGAATGTTCTTACCTAAACCAAGACTTGGTTTGTAAAGTAAAATGATGGAAAGTTCATCTTCTGATCCTCTTTAGTTAACTTGCAGCTATCATGATAACACTCAGGGCTCAGTGCTTGGTCCTCTACTGTTCTCTTCATGTTTGCTTCCTCTGGATGCTATCTTTTAGGAAATATGGTCTGGCCTTTAATTGTTACACAGACGACTGTCCAATTTATGCTCCAGGCAAAGGCATGGCAGTGGTTTACAGTGTCTCGAGGAAGTAAAAGTGTAGAAGGCCTCTAATTTTCTGAGCTTTAATGACAGAAAGACCGAAATTATATTTTTTAAATCTAGTGGGTCATCGGCTGTTTCTCCTTCTCTCTTGGATGCATTGTCGCCTTGTCTCAAAGATGTCACCTCAAACTTGGGGGTCAAGGTCGACTCGAAGCAGAAATTTGACAAGCAGATAAACTGTGTGGTAAAATCCTGCTTTTTCCAGATAATGAAACTGGTTAAGGTTTAGTCTGTCCTGGTAAAGAGGGACATGGAAAGACCCATTCATGCTTTTATTACCTTGAGCATGGACTACTGTAATGGTCTATATATTAGGGTGAGTCAACGATGTCTCTCAAGACTGCAGTTGGTGCAGAATACAGCAGCACGTTTGCCAACAGGCACCTGTAGGTGTGATCACATCACCATGGTGCTAGCTTCTCTTCACTGGATTCCTGTTGTTTTTAGAATTTGTTTTATGATTCTCAATCTGACATACAAATCTTAAAATGGGTTGGCACAATCATACCTCTCAGACATTATCCTGCCATACGATCCACAGCGCCTATTGAGGTCGGCTGACCAGCTGCAGTCGGTTGTTCCGAGGGCAAGGCTGAGGCAGAGAGGTGATAGGTCTTGCTGTGGCTGCTCCTAGCCTATGGAATCAGCTGCCTGTCAATATCAGGAAAGCCTCCTCGCTTGTGGAGTTTAAAACTCTTCTCAAGATGCACTTCCACTCGCTAGAGTTTAACACGATCCGATTGTTTTACATCGACTCTTGTTTGATTTTTATATAACCATGTTGGTTTTAAAGTTGTGGATTTTTAAAGTGTTTTAATCTAAAATTATTTTAGCTGTGATTTGTTTTATTGTTGGTGTGTTTTATAAGCGCTTGTCTATTTATAACTGTACAGCACTTTGGTCGACAGTGTTGTGTAGAAAGTGCTAGAAATAAAATTGGATTGGATTTTTAGGGTTAAAACGAGGTCCCACGGTTCACCATACCTAGCACAGACCCTGAGCAGCTGCTGCATGCCAGCACTGTAGGAAAGCATGAGGACTAGGCCTTCTGTATACATTAAATGATTTACAAGGATGTCGTCCACCTAGCATCCAGTCTTGCAGTTATTCAACGCAGATGACAGATCATCAAGGTAGAGGTTGAAAAGGACAAGAGACAAAATTCCACCTTGTCTGACTCCATTAGAAACAGTGGATCCATTGGTGAGAGTACCATAAGTATAGGGAGCCTAAGTCATGCCCATCTACTTTCGGACCATGGGTCCCCGGAACAACGAAAAAATGAATGAAAGTCAATGGGGCTAAAAACTCTATTTTCTAAACCTGCTTGTTATGTGCCATTGATTTCACCTATGATGTCCGTGAACCTTAAAGACGCATTTTGATACCAAGAAAGCGCTTATTTTCGAATGAGGGGAGATGTTATTTTAGGTTTTGTGTGAAAATAAGTCCAGGACTACAAATGTGCCTCATGAAAGTGACGTCAAAGCAGAGGTAAAACGGCTGTGAGTTCAGCAAACTTCAAATCCTTCATTCAGAAGGAACGACCCACCGTAAATATGGCCATTTGGTAAGTAGTAGCTATGCTAGAGGAGAGGAGATTCTGTGGTGACATCATCTATGCGACGTCTTATTTGTTGTCATGCTAATTATGAACTTTTGCAAGCTGATAAATCTCAATGTACGTGACAGGCACGGCCGAAACACACATAATTAATTTACATTTAAATTGCAGTACAGCATATGTGTGATCCAGGGCCTAAGGCAATGCAGATTAGAAAATATCTTTTTTAGCCTCATTGACTTGCATTCATTTTTTTCGTTCTTCCAGGGACCCATGAGCCGAGCGGAAGGGGAAGAGACTTAGACTCCCTATAATGCAGTATTAGAGTATGCAAAAATACAACGTTTTAAGTGTAAAAAAATGCTAAAATCACTTGAAGCACAAGCACCCCAATTATAATGTTTTTTAAATGTTTAACTTGCCACCTGCAAAACATTTTAGGCAAAGCAAGGCAGCTTTATTTGTATAGCACATTGCAAACAAAAAGGCAATTCAAAGGGCTTTACAGAAGCAAGAATAGCAAACACAGTAAATCAAACAAAGAAATGTAGATTAATTTCAGATTCACAAAACAGATAAAAGGCATAGTCACAAGGGTAGCAGTTATAGTGCAGAAAGTGCAGCATAAGAAACATTTATTCAAAGGCTAATGAGTACATGAAGGTTTTTAATTTTGATTTAAAAGTTACTAGAGTTGGGACACATCTGCGTTCATGGGGAAGCTGTTTCCATATGTGAGCAGCATAGTAACTAAATGCATCTCCACCATGTTTTGTTCTGACCCGTGGTTCTACCAGCTGATTGTTTCCAAGGGATCTCAGAGCCTTATTGGGTGTATATACGGGAATGAGATCGAACAATTATTTTGGTCCCATGCCACTGAGTGCTTTATAAACTAGTAGGAGCTCTTTGAAATATATTCTGTAGTTTACTGGTAACCAGTGTAGGGATCTAAGAACAGGAGTGATGCGCTCCGTTCTCCCAGTTCTTGTTAAGACTCTAGCAGCAGCATTCTGAACAAGCTGCAGTTGCTTCACAGCTTTTTTGGAAAGACCAGTTAAGAGACCATTGCAGTAGTCCAGCCTGCTGGAGATGAACGCAATAATTATGTTTATGTATTTAGCAGACGCTTTGTTCAAAACGATTTACAAGTTATAATCGGCATGTTGCCCTTGAGGCTAACAACAACAATAATAACAACAACAGCAACAAACAATTTTGAGTCAGTCATAGGTGGCAGTGAGGCAGCATGATGAATCAAGGAGAGGAGGGAACAAGGAGTGGACAGTAGAGAGAGGGGATGGGTGCAGGGAGGGTGCTAGTTTAGAAGATGCTCTCTGAAGTCCAGGGTCTTCAGGAGTTTATTGAAAATTGAAAAGGAAGCCCCTGTTCTGGTAGTGCTTGGTGGATCATTCCACATTTGTGGAATGATGCACGAGAAGAGTCTGGATTGTTCTGAGCGCGGTGTAGGCACTGCTAGCCGACGATCCTGTGATGACCGGAGCGGCCGGGCCGAGAAGTAAGCCTTTGCAAGAGGATTCAGGTAGATGGGAGCTGTACCATCTCGGAATTTGTATGCTAGTGTTAAAAATTTGAATTTGATGTGTGCAGCTAGCGGTAGCCAGTGGAGCTCAATGAACAGAGGGGTGACTTGTGCTCTTTTTGGCTGATTGAAGACCAGACGCACAGCTGCGTTCTGGACCATTTGAAGAGCTCTCACAGTACAGCCTGGAAGACCAGTTAATTAGTTTCTCTAGGTCTTGTTTTGACATGAGATCTCTGAGTCTTGCTAAATGATGGAGATGATAAAACGCTGATCTAGTTATGGCTTTAATGTGACTAGTGAAGCTCAAGTCTGAATCAATGGTAACACCAAGATATCTAACCAGAGTCTTTGTCTTTATTCCTTTGGAGCTAAGCTGAGAAATAACCGCCATCCTATCCTGCTTATTTCCAAAGACAATAACTTCAGTCTTGTCTTTGTTTAACTGAAGGAAGCTTGATTGCATCCAGTCATTAACTTGCTCTAGGCACTGACAGAGTGAGTCTAGGGGACCAGATTCATTAGGCGATAGAGCTAGGTAGATCTGGGTGTCATCTGCATAACTGTGGTAGGCGATGTTGTTATTGTTTATGACATGGCCCAGTGGGAGCATGTAGAGATAGAAAAGCTGTGGTCCAAGTATCAAGCCTTGGTGGACACTGCATGTCAGGGCAATTTGCTTTGATTTGTGTTCACCAATGGAAACAATATAACTCCTGTCTGCGAGGTATGACTGGAACCAACTATAAACTGTGGCTGAAAGTCCCACCCAGTTCATTAGTCTATCAAAAAGGATGTTGTAGTCCACAGTATCAAAAACTGCACTGAGATTGAGCATTATCAAAACAGATGTTTTGCCTGAATCTGTATTAATACAGATATAATTTAATACTTTAATCAGTGTAGTCTCCATGCTGTGGTGTTGTCTAAAGCCAGACTGAAAACCATCCAGGAGTTATTTTTTTGTCTCCAAGAACTTGTCCAGCTGGGTCATAACTGCTTTTTCAATAACTTTCAGTAACAGATTAGAAATTGGTCTGTAATTATTCATCACTAAGATCTAGTTTACTTTTCTTCAGAAGAGGCTTAACAGCAGCAGTTTTCAGTGAATTAGGAAAAATACCCGTCATTAAGGAGCAATTAACAATTTTCAGTATATCAGCTTTCATGCATTAAATATTCTAGTCCTCTAGTGTTTGGGCACTAATCATATAGAAAACTGGCATTCTAGCCAGAGTGTTGTTGTGTGGCTCTAGCAGTGATCTGGTTGTATTGGTTGACATGGCAAAGTGAATGGCTAATCTGATGTTTAAGATTTTATCTTTGAAAAATGATGCAAACTCATTACACTTTGATTGGGACAAGAAATCAGGAGCCATGATATCTGGCCAAAGATCTAACACATTTTAGGACAATGTAAGCTGGATAAATGCATCTGGAATATTTAAACTTGATTAATTTGGACCACCAGCTACGATTTCCTGCATCAGTTAAGTTTTACAGTGTAACAACATGGATACAGAGAAAAATAACAACCGGACTTCACCTTGACAGATGTAGCCAGGTAGGGTTTCCCTCGAGGAGATCGCTCCAGTCTGATCTCAGACCAGGGGATCCCAAACCTCTCACATACAAACTTTCTAAGCAGCAAACGTCCAGCCTGTTGAGTCACATTGAAAAACATATGGCCAAATTACTGAAGACAGCAATAAATCAAAAACAAAAGATCTTTAGGCTCACCATGGCTGACTTGGCATCCTTTGCGAAAACAAACTGCCCAACTCGATCCTTTTCCTCCCGCTGGACGCAGCGAGCAGCGAACAGCCACTCGGACCTGCTCGGTCTCCAGGTGCCACATCGGAAAGCCCAGCGGACAGAACCCATCTCCTTCTCATCTCCTCAGCCTTAAACTACTCTTGTACTGTTAGCTAATGTTAGCATCCGGTGAAAACATGCGACTTTTCTCTGACAAACCTGATAGTTTTACACCCAAGACGTGTCAGGTCGTTCCCGCATACTAACGCGGTTTTAGAGAAGTTAGAGTTTTTCATAAAAATAAACAAAATATGACACAAGGCTTACGTCTCTTTGTATTTTGGCTCTGACGGCAACGCATTTCCCGGAATAACGTCACGTGGCAAGTGGGCGCGGTGCAGAATTGACCAATACGAGTAGCGTAAACGGTAGGCTAGTAGCGATGTGTTCACATGTTCTCGAGACTGTTGTAATTACGAGCTAAATGTGATTGGGTTGCGATAAATCGGTCAATTTCTTTTAAAACATACTGCCTTTTAGAAGTAAATCAATAAATCCCACCAGCTTTAGTACGGACCTTAGTTATTTCACATAATACAAGTAAATACACATGCTTATGGTGGGTTACATCTTATAACTAATTTTATTTTGTATATATATAAATTTTATTTTGTACACATGCATTAAATGAAGCACTGCATATAATAAACAGTCCCATCGTTCGCATACAGAGTAGGTTGGCGTTAAGATAAATTAAACATTGAACCATACATTTTAAAAGGGATTTACAAATTGTGCCTTATTTTTTATCCCAGAGTCTGATTAATCCTGAAAGCACCAGTGGAATTGTAATTTCAGCGGTGTTGTGATTGCGGTAAAGGTGGGTTGCTTTTACTATGTTTTTACAGATTATGCGTTTTAGACGTGGCGGTGAGATAATATTGTAATGCTGCTGCTGATGGTGAAACAGTTTCTCTTATCTGATAAAACACCGCAAACCTAATCCCTCGATTCAAGCGTTATTTCCTCTATAAATGTATGCCAGTTATTACAAGACATTATGTACTTTTACTATATATGTTGTGTGTTTGTTGGTTATTGAAAATAAATGGCAGATTAACTTGTTCCAAATGTAAATCTGTGTGAGAAATAAGATTTTTTTTAATTTTCAAAAATTATATTCTCAAATTTTTTCCGATAAAATATTGTACGTTTGTTGCAGAAATCATAAGGATATTCGCATTTTTCATGGTTCTCAAGTAGAACGTCAACTTAACATTTTATTGATATGTGAAATTATGAAATGTAAAATTTGACTCATCTGACTAATTTGCAGCATTTCAACGTAAGATGTAAATGAACAAAAATTCCTAAAGTCTTTTACATTTTTTCCATAAAATAATCATTCAGTCAAGCTTCCAGCCCAGTCAATGCTGAGTAAAATTTTAATTCCTAACTGGATTTATGTCATCAGGTGACATGTTATTGACTCAGATTGTATTCCAGGAGCTCACCTGCAGTGAACAGGAATAAAAGTGGAGCGCCGTGCCATTCCTGTCATAACCAACACCACGTAGATGCAGCTACATCAAATCAGGACCCTATCAAGGCAAGACCCTTCCATGCAAACTGAAGGAAGCTATAGATGATGTACCCTTTCGACTGCCTGCTGAGCTTTCTGCACCCAGCACATTTCTTTCCAGCTGATTTCCTGGTATAACAGCATCTCAGAAGTTAGAAAACGTCTCACATGCTGCTTGATTCACAGAGGAAGTCCTCACTGATGGATACAGACTTGAAGGAAACCCTGTCTGCTGGGCAACCTTTGTCAGACATAGACAGTTTGACATCTGAGGATTAAACCCCTCTCTCATCCATTGTCTCTTTTCTTGCATACATTCCTGCATATCCATTTTCTTTTTTCCTGCTTGAGCCACCTTGCTTGACATCTTTAGTGTATATCTGGGGTTTTCCCCCACCTTTGTGGTGCCAAGCTGGATTTCCTGCAAGTAAAGCATCGAAGGAGGAAGAGGAAGAGCAACTACAGCGTGAGAGAAACACAGACTCTCATCAGGGAGATCGACAAAAGAAGGGACGTGTTGTTCTCCAGGAAGCAGGTTTTTAAGATCTTGCAATAAATAAGAATCTGAATCACCAAAACTATACATTTCAAACATGCATTTATATTGATTGGTAGACAGCAAGGAACATACAATCGTGATTTGTGCCAAGCCATTACATGCACTTACCACTCCACAACGAAGCACTAACTGTTTGCAATTAATTTCAGATTTTTTATTATTTTATTTAGTTTGATTGATTCAATTTAAAAGCAGGTGTTTATCTATAAATTTACTGGGTTCCTTTTTCCTTTATTCTCAAGGTCAAATTTAAATAATTTTCTTGATTTTTACCACAAGCTCAAATCAGTTTTTTTTACCCCAAATACAACTTACCATACAAGGCATTAATTCCTACTAGAAACCACTGCAAACGTACTGATTGAACGAGTGAACCAAACCTTTCATTTAAAATTTCTGCAGTTAAACAGGTTCATGAGTGAAAGTTTGGGTTCCATTCTCAACAAGGACGACTCAAAAATGCAATAATTCTTTAAGGTTTGTCTGAAATTGGATTTTTAGATAGATAAAGACAATACAATTTACTTGGGTTGATTTTGAGTGTTCCCTTGACCTCAAATAACCCAAGATGAGTGATGTTTACAAGTATACTATATCAACTTTTCTCACAGTATCAAAGGGTACAATGAGTATTATAGCATTTCAAAAAAGATCCAAACTATAGAATAAAAAAAATCCTTATTGCCTGTTTCAAAAGTTAATTTAAAGTGCTAAATTCATTTAAAAACAGATGAAAAAGGTTTAATAAATTTCCTCATTAAAAAAAACGATTCTAACAAATACAAATTAATGACTAAGACGTCTAAATTTGTAGGTTTTGATTGGACATATTTAGTTATTTTCCCAGAATCACGTGTTGTCCTGATGTTCCTTCTGCTGGCTGCCTTGTTTATTTCTAAAATAAACGGTAAGACTTAATGTTGGAACAGAGTGAACAACATTGTTTTAATTGTTTGTTCTCTTTTCTGAACAGAACACAGCAGTTAATGAGCTGAAGAGGCAGGCATGGGAGGAAGTGGCACAGGGTGTGAATGCATTAGGAGAGGGAGAGCTGCGCACCGCCACTGAGGTACGTTTGTCTCCAAAAACTAAACCAAATTTAAACTCAGCCGGTGGTGATTTCTAATAATCACTTTTTTGGATCTTCTCATGCAGGTGAAGCGTCGTTATCTGGACTGGCGCGCGCTGATGAAGAAAAAACAGCTGACGTTTGAGCTCTCCCCGTCCTCCTCCTCCTCTCTGACGGTGAAAACCGAGTATGATCAGTCCTCGCCGGAGCACGAGGCCGCTCCTCAAGGAGCCAGCGAACAGCTGGGCGACCTCTCGGGCTTCCCGCGGGAATGTCAGAGCAACTGGCCGGAGCTGGTTGCCCTGGATGAGTCGTCAGTGATGGCCCACCCAGGTGTGAAGATGGAGGACAACATCAGCGAATACAAAGTATGAAACACACTCACCTAAATGTTTCCCTTGAAGAAAAATATTCTAAATGATGTTTATTTGCATGTAAATAAAATCTAAATTATACTGCAACAGTAATTGTGTTTGAAAACATTTGTCTAGTGTTGACACACAAGTAGGTTTAAGGTGTTAATCAACTGAATTAATACCCTCATCAGCATTATGTTTGAAACATCTCAGTGATTATGCAGCAGGTTGAGTAGATTAAGTGGCTCTTGATCCAGACAATTGACTGGGACCTTTTTGCTCCCCAAGGCAGCAACTGAATTATATAAATATTGAGCTAATTACGGTTTGATTGGCATTTAAATGGTATTTATTCTGTAAATTATTCATTTCAAAGTCCTATCTGTTGATTTGATTCCTGTGGAAAAATCCCTTCTCTGGACTCTGAGTTGTCCTTCAGTTAATTCCATTGAGAGAATGAAATGCTGATTGTAGTTTTCTGGCGCATCTGCTCAGGGTCTTGCTTCTGCCGATTATGTCATCATGCTATGGTAATACCACTCAGCCAAAATATACTGTATCTCTTTTTCAATTCTGTTCTTTCACATAGGTTTTTTGAAATAGTTCAGCAATTTTGTTATTAGATTCATGTTTCTTACTGGCTTAATGTTTTCAAATGTGGTAATGTCATAAAGTCATACATTCAGCCAGTCATCTAGTGTGACATCATCGACAGGTGCAGGACCCCAAGCCAAGAAACATGGCGTCCCCTAAAGACACTAGACCCCCGCCCTATGCACTTTAGACCTTATTTTTATGGTTATAAGGTACAAAGCCGCCAACATTTTTCAACAACTGGACACTGGACATCATTTTGCTCATTTTCAACAACATTTTGATGGATATCTCCATAAATGAAAGGTAAAAACTACACATTGTCACTTTAATTGCTAAAGTGTCTCCTCAGCATTCATTAGTGTCTACAGGAGTGGTTCATTACTAAATCAAACAAATCAGCTGTGTTCATCATCTAAAACAGGGGTCACCAACACCGGTCCTTGAGGGCTACCATCCTGCACACGTTAGCTGTTTCTTTGTTCCTACACTGATTGAAATTAATAAGTAATTAACAGGCCTGTGCAGAGTTAAGGAGAGGATCAATTCTCTGGAGGCAGGCTTTGCACATTTGAAACGTTAAAGAAGTGGTAATGACCCCCTCAGAGTCTTACGCCACCAACATTTCATTTTTGAAAAATGCGGCACAAAGAGGCGTTTCCTGTAAGACCGAGAAGGCGGAGCTACAACCGTGATTGACATACACAAATTTGAAGCCAGATGGCGACGGAGAGCGACACTAGCTCAGAGCAGTCATTCGAGGTGGAGGACTTTTCTCCACCTTCTTCCCCAGAGGATAGGGAGGAGGGCTTTTGGGGGGAAGCAAGCGGTCCTGAACCGTATCTTTTTGAGCCACTAGCTCGTGAGTTGTCCGAGTCCCCTGGAGCCGAGCCAGCAGGAGTATCAAGGCATCGAATGGGTCCAGTCTCTGAGTGGTAAGTAGCTTTTTGCCACAGCTAAAGCTGTATTTAGCTTAGCTAAAAGTAACATTGTATGACTGCCTCAACAGGTGCACCTGTGGCCACTGTACATCATTGTCTGCCAGAGAAAATGTGTGCTGCAGAGAAACGCCCAAGGTATAAAAATAAAAGTACCCCACCATGGGAAAAGCATTCTGTAATGTACACATTTGTTACACAATCACTAACATCATGCTAATATTGAACTCTTATAGCCCTGATATCAGTTGTTCTTTGTCGTAGGTAATGCTCAGGTGTCAGCAGGTGGGTGTAACCTCCTGCATAACTGAGCATCCTGGTTTTGAGCCTGTTGCTCTGAATCCCTACGTGTTGCAGGCAGTTTATGGCACCTTTCTGCAACTCTATGGGGAGATGCAGGAGACTATGCTCAACAGGTAAGACAATTGTCAAATTACTTGATTTATGAATACTTTATTTATAACTCATACCACCTCTTTCTCAGGTGTTACAGACATCTGGCGTACCGGAATGTGGTCAGGTGGTGTTGGGGTTACCTGGGACAGCACATTCGTGTTGTCATCCCGTCATGTGCTGTCTCCAGAATAAGGCAGGAGTTCCCAGAAGACGGTGCATACAAAGGATTCCTCCCTCCTCTGAACTTGAATTAAAAATTTTTTTTTATTAAATATATGTCATATGTTTTGATTCCTGTCCATAAAAAGCTGCATAAATCACTAAACGGTAAATGCACTTCTTTACACTTTGACATTATTTATATATATACACACGTATAGCCACACACTTTCAAATGAGCTCTTACAACAGAAAGGTTCTAATTAGTGGTTAATTAGTGCTGCTGTAACAAGTGAATTTACACCCTGTGTGATTATGAAGTCTTTTCTAGAGCAGGTTCAATTAGGTTAAAATGAATGATAATTTAATAAATGTGATATATGTATTTATACACATCAAAATATCAATATAATTGTATTTAAAATGACACAATTGTGTTGCAAAGATAACATTTATTATAGCTACTACTAAGACAATGTTAGATTACAATCTGATCATAACTTTCATGATTTTTGACAAAACTCTAAACCACAAGCAGAGATTCTGGAGCCATGTGAGGAGAGTTTGGGCCAACAGTGATGTTTCATAGGTTCCTTAGACTGGAGGTAGCTTTCACTGTGATGACAAACGTGGAGATGGATCCCGGGAGCACAGGTTTTTCTGTTACAAGATGAGGAGGCTCTGAGGAGAAAAGGAATATTAGTATGACTGTAGTATGACTTACAAAAGTAAGACTGGTGAGTTTTGTTATGTTACATACGGCCAAGATTTTCAAGTTGTATGGGAGCCACAGAGCAGAAAGGTGTAGAGATCAATAGACATCTGGGAGGTGGACAGCATGAGTCACGAGTGGATGAGCATAAAGATCCATAACGACAACAGGTAACTCCTCTGTCGTACAGTGGTGAGCAGCCTGGCTGAGGAGGAGAAAAGGAAAAACCACACAAAGTAGAATACTAACTAATAATTACAATCTCTTGTTGTGTAGCTCACCTTACGTGCACTTTAAAACCTGGACCTGTGCCTGCTCACAGCATCCCGTTTGTCTGGTCTTTGGAACTGGGCACAGAGAGGTTCTGGAACCGGAATTTTGTCCGAGTACTCCTGATATGGGAGAGGATCCACCACCACAGAGTCGAACAGCAGGTCCATAAGCTTGTGCACATATACCGGAAAAGGGTTTTCAGTATTACAATAGCTCTCCATGACCATCATTTTGGTTTTATCTTACAATATATGACATACATGAGGTTGGATTGGTCTTCAGGGCTCTCACTGTGTAGTCTCCATGTTTGTACTTTGGGTACACTACAGCATATCTCAGCTCACCAGATGCTGTTGCTGCATGTGAGCGTGCTGCATTTTCATTGTAGTGCATTGCAGCAATTTGTAATCTGAAATAATCAAAGAAACAAACCATATAGATTTTAGGCAAAATTCTACAGTTCATGCTAAAATTTAAACAATTACCTAGACAGCATTCCTTTGAAGGAGAAGACCTGACTTTTTGGAGTAAATCTGATGATGAGGCTCTGGAAAGCCTCCAAGGTGGATGTGTGGTACTGAGGGCTTATCTTCTCTACGTCCTTCACAAACCGTGGAGCTAACAGAATGGCAGTGAGCTTCTCACATGATTCTGTGCCTACGTTGAAAATGTTAATTACATAAATTACAATTTGATCAACTTTAGAACGTTGCTATTATTTCATTGAGAGAAAGTTACCCATAGCTGACATTTTTAGATGACAAATGCATGAAAGAGTGACTAATAGTGCTGTAGACAGGTGTGGTAATTACTTACGGTATTTTAGTACATACTATTTCAATTAAGGCTGTTCTGCCTAAAACCATGAGTTGTGTGGTGCCCTCTTGTGAAATTTCTGCACAGCATTTTATTCTTAGTAATTATTTGCTGTTGGCCAAATGGTGGTGTGTGACCTTAGCAGCTACATGTGACATCTGTAACTCTCATGCTCCAAAAATATTTCTCCATGTTGAAGGAGGTGACGACAAATATTCTGTTGTGGGGTGACGTGTTCTAAATGTAAATAAACCAAACAGTAAAGGCTCAGCTGTAATGAGTACATGCTACACTTACTTGGTTTGAGCCACTGTCTTGCCTGTTCTCCATCCAGAGGTGCATGCAGACAGCTAGGGAACAGGGCGTTGTCATGGCTGTGCACATTTTGGATGTGGTTGGCAACTGAAGTCCACTTTGCTACTGCCTCCTTTCCTGATGAGGAACTGGATGCTGACCAGTAGAAGTGGTTCACCACACTTTGCTTCCACAGTCTCACATCCTGGGTCGTCTTTCTCTTCCCCAGCTCTTCGATTTTCTTACCAGTTCATGGAGAGCCAAACAGACCCACATTTAAAATAGGAAAAAAAAAAATCCTGTAATATTCACTATATACATCCCCAAAGATTACCTTTTCCCATGTGCCAGGGGTCAACGTAGTGACTGATTTCCTTTTTTTCCTCCCACAAATACTTCTGCACCCCTGTGTGGCGGTCTGTCACAACTTGCTGCACATCGACCCCCCTCTCCAAAAGTGTGCTCAGACTTCGCACAAATCCCTTCTTCATTCGCACACTATTTCCAACTTCATTGCTCTGAAAATAAACACAATTCTCCATTGATCTGTGAATAATTAACCATGAAATGCATTGGAATCATCAGGTAATGTTGTACCTGTACGAGTTGGATATCAATAACTTTGTTTCTTTTGAGATCCATCATGGTGTAGCTGCCATATTTGGCTGAGTGTCCTTCAGAAATGCAAGTTATTACTTAATTTACATTTGATAACAAAGAAATAAAATAATTAAATTTAAACGTATTCACCAGGTGAATCAGCTCGCATGTCACCACCAAGAGTCACAGGTCCAGATTCAGTAGCCTCCTGGATGAAATCAGCTTGCTCTAGATGCCACTGCCAGCTCACTGTTGGAATTAACAGCTTTGCCTGATGTAGACAGAATGTCTGCTTGGACAGTCCCTGCACAATGAAGGCACCCAGGAACTAAAATATGAAAAGTTACATCATGAAATGAGAGATGCACAGACCTTATCAAAACTAACCTAAACTGTTTTGGCCTATACCTTAGAAATCTGGCTAAATGATGAGCCTGTGAAAAGGACAGCAGCACAGAGCTGGAGGTTTCCTGCTGGGATGCTGTTCACCATGGGCTGACTGGACCACTCATTGTAGTGCTCACAGCATGAACACCGTTGTGTCACACGGAGCAGTGTGCCGATTGTCGTCGTGTTCACAACACAACTACCGGTACAAACGGGACACCTTCTGAACAGCCCCAGCAACTGTTCCTCATGAACAATGTACTTCTTCTCCTTTTGTGGATGGACCTCAGTGAAAGAGCTGTATAGAACACATACATTTATATATATGGTAATATCTTAAAAATTCTAAAATGTTATAATTTTTTTAACCCTGAACAGTTCACTGAGCTTGCACTGTCATTGAGGTGGAAGCTGGGATCTACAGCAGACACCTCACATCTTGGTCTTTTCAGGGGTGTGGACGCTGCTCTGGGACTTTCTGGAAGATGAATTTCCATCATGGTCTCTGTGTCACAAGACACACAGCGGCTGGGAATGCTGTGCTGTGTCAGTTAGAGCCACTGTTAGCAGAATTACCGACTGACGCAAAACAACCCGAATTTTCTCTGAGCCTGACAGTAATAGTCACGTGGACCATTTTGTCGGCCAGGGCTTCGAGATATGTTCTGATTCGCTGCTGATTCTAACCTTACATCCCGTTCCACATTTTGTGAACTTGACAAATCAGCCCGAAGGCAGTGCAGGCTGATATTAGCTAAATGAAATGAACCACGTCTCTCAATCTTTGCATTTAGGTAGGGAATTGTCTTTAGAGGATGTTAAAACTTTTATTTAGCTTACTCACCTCAGACTGGAGCCCGCCATGGTGGGGGAACAGAGTCGGTGGGCTAAATCGTGGAAGAGCCACGGTGGGCATGGCCTCTCTCTTCAAACGGAGACGCGCAGAATAACCCAGTTCAAACTCCATCATGTTGGCGAAGGAATCGCGGGTAAAATGCTGGTTGCAGACTACAGCACCAGGCGGGAGCTGACTGTTTTCCAGACACATATTGCGCGCAACCACTGGCGCCTAATTTCCAAGTCCAGCGGAAAGTAGTGCAACCCCACAGAGCCACCGCAACCACACTACACTACACCTTCTCATCATACTAACACGATATGGAACACTAAACCCGAACTACTTTCCTAATAACACTAACAGCCAAACACTAACTGAACTACACAATCCAACAGCCATCTAACACTAAATAAGTATTTATAACACTAAAAGCTATGCTAAAGACTAGGATATGCTAATGCTATATGCTAATACTGAACTACGGCTAACCTCCTACACTCGCTTGCAAATCCAACTCCCAACTCACCACAAGGCGTGGCCGAGACTCTCAATGCTTTTATAACCTTGACACAGAGCTGCTACGTAGTACTCTACTGGTTTACGTAGTATCTTACTCTTTAGCCATTGGCTAAAGTGTATTCAAAATGACTCAAATGTTTTAAGCTGAAGGTGGCGCTATACTGTGGTATTTAGGCAGAATTTTTAATTTAAAAAAAAAATGCCCCAAAATGCTAAAATAATGAATACACACATTTAAAACACTCATTTATACAGTTCATCAGCAAAAAAAAATAGTTAATTTAGACGTTACTTGCTCTTTAAAACCCACCTACCTGGTTACTCCACATACGTATTTCATGAGCATTTTTAAACTCAGAAGTACCCCTGAAGGACTTAGTTGTTCGTCCTTTTATCAAAACTTATTTTGAGCCTGAGAGGGTTAAATTACTCCATCTGAGGACTGGAGTTGGTGATACCTGATCTAAAACATGCTGGAAGCAGACTCCAGCTCCACATTGTCAGCTCCGCTCCAATCCACAGCTCCCTCTACCAGCAGGGAGCAGCCTGGCACTACTGAAGTGGCATTTGTGATATTCTGGCCGCAGGGGGTGGTGGGGTCTGAGCGATATATCATTAAACCTGTAAAGGGTCATTTCAGCACATACTGACTCAAGAAAAGGATTAAAAATATTTAAAAAGTTGCTTAAAGATGGACTGTTGGGTTCAGGTGACTCAGAACTGAAGCAGCCTTCGGATGAGAGATGAAAGTTCATTTGCCCATTTTTAAAGAGCTCTTAGGAGAGTCAGCTTGAAAGGCCTGATAGAGTCATAAACATGACAGGATTAGAAATGTAGCTAAGGCACTTGTCTTCTCAGGTTTCAACGTCCTTCTGCATCACCCAGCGTTTGTGCTTCTTGTGGCAAATAATAAGAATTTTACTCCTTTTGTTTCTTCCTTCAGGTAGGAGGTGATGTTGGAGATGGAGACATAGACGAAGATGATATTCCCTCCCTCCTCAGTGGCATTGAGTCATGTGGAGAGGGCCCCGTCGGAGACATGTATTCCCACAATGATCTGGACCTGCTCAGCTCCTCTGAGGATCCCATCTCCACCACTAACAGAGATCTGCTGCCAACAGAAAGCTTGATGGGAATTCATGGACTCTGCTGTGATCGTAAGAACATGGACGCAGGATTTCTTTTTGCTGTCGAGAAACAACGACTGGAGCTGGAAAAGCAGCGGCTGACTGTGGAGACCGAACGCCTAGCTGTGGAGAAAGAGCGCCTGATGGTGGAGAAGGGTCGACTGCGTCAGGCGGAGGTGGAAAAAGAGCGGCTGCACGTGGAGAAGGAGCGGCTACAGGTGGAGCGGGAGAGGCTGAGGCTCCTGCTTCTCAGCCAATCAGAGCACGTCGACTCACCTTTTCTCCTGCTGCCACAAGACCGTCCGTCCTCCTCCACCTGTTCTCTGTCCTCCACCCCGGATGAACAGGAGGAGAAAAGCTGGATTTCCTTGGTGAACCTGGAGACAGAGAAGATGAATCTGGAGAGGGAGAGGCTGCAGCTGGAGAAGCAGAGGCTGCAGCTGTTTAAGTTTGAGGCAGGTCGACTGCAAATTGGGAGAGAGCGCCTGCAAGTGGAGAAAGAGAGAATGCATCTGCACAAAGACCATCAGCCTATTAAAGCATGAGGAAGAGGAGGAGGATCAGATTTAACAAAGGTGTAAGGTAGCTGGATTAATTCCAGATTAGGATAATTTGAGAGTTAAAAAAATGTTCACGATCACTGAAATAAAAAGGTGCCTTTTGACGTTCAAACAAACCAAGTAACAGAACAGAGAGGATTCCAGAGTCATCACATTGTTTCAGATGAAATTTCCAGTTCAACAACTTATTGCTGTGTTTAAAATGTATATATATATAAAAAGATTTATGTTAAAGTTTATGGAAATATGAGCAGAGTTGCACGAAAACTGTGTGTTCCAGTGTATGGGTGCTGGTGTGTGTTACAACACAGAACAAACAAAAGGGCACAAGTTTTCGATTCAAGCATTTTACTGTCAAGTGCTTGAGTCATTAATAATATTAGTAATAATTGTGACTAAATAATCTATTTACACACTTTTACCTGAAACTTTACAAACACTGATGCTGATCATTAACGAACAGAGGCAGCTAAGGTGGTTCACACTCTCATTTTGCTTAAGTTTTGACAACACACACACACACACACACACACACACACACACACACACACACACACACACACACACACACACACACACACACACACACACACACACACACACACACACAAACACACACACACACACACACATACACACACAAAGAGCATTTTAAAATAACTTATTACTGATAAGTGTTTTCTGTTACTGCATTGTTGTTTGTTTATTTATTTCAAAATTATTAAATAAAAAGTTTTGTTATCATAATGCCATCTTCCCTGGTGGGAACTTTCTCATATTTTATTTCTATTCTGTATTTGTACCCTTTGGATGCGTTTTCACTTAGTTCTGTTTCCTTTTATAATGGTAACAAGTGAATAAAAGATTTTTCTAAAACATTCTTCTGTCTGAATAACCTTTTTTCAGTATTATTTTCTTTCTACCAACTTGAAACCGTCACTGTCGTCTTGCAACATGCAGCTACTAATCCTAACCACTCAGTCACGACACAAGGGATTGAAATGAAAACAATAATTTATCAATGAGAACTTAAGGAGCGCCACAACGTGTGGCGAGATGGACGGGGTCTCAGGCTCGAGAGGCTCTGAAAGACATGTTGCTAGGCTGAGAGATGGTGCAAACCTAGAGCTGGGGCTTACGATTCTGAAGGTAGCTTGAGGGGGGAGAGAGCCAGATCTGAGGAGGAGGTTGTAGAGGAGGACTCGAAAGCAAGGAGACTTGAAAAGGGGATGCCAGAGAGTTCAGGCCGGGTGAGCGGTGGGAGAGGAGGACAGACGGGTTGCAGGCAGACGCTGACTCGGATGTGATCTGGAAGGTAAGATGGAAATGGTCAGGATACCTGGAAAATGTGAACAAAGATAGGGAACTCAAAAACAGGGTTAAAGGGCTCGAACAAGGAGGCTTGTGACTCCCAGCTTGGTTGTACCCAAAGTGAGCAATAATCCGGTGCCGTGGTGTCGTCTGTCAGCTTCTTAAATAGACCACTCCCCTCAGATTGTGACATCTTGCCTCTTATTGGCTAACAGTAATGTGACTTTTCCACTGCAACATTGATGTTTTATCTCCACAAATAACACAAGCCTGAAGGAGGTCTGCTGTGGAGATGCTAGTGCTAATGCTAATGCGTAGCTTCTGTAAACGTGCGAGCTGTAATGGCTCGGCTCGTAGTCTCAGGACCAAAAGAAGAGAAAGAAGAGGCGAAATGTCTTTGGAGTACGGGAACACGTCTCCGTTTATTTATTACCGAACCGGTTAGCTCAACTCCCTGCGCGCGAATGACCCACGGGAGAGAGAGACTGGTGACTCCACCCTTCAGTCCAGGAGTTCAAAGTTCGCCGCACATGCGCACAACACATCACCCGCTTACAGTCGTCCCCCCTTCACAAAAGAAATGACCCCATTTCTGAACAACATCGTGAACAAACAGTGTAGAAAAAAAATAAAAGTATCAAATACAACATGGTGCTACCTGTACAAAACAAAAGAAAATACAAACTCCAAACCATTACCCCATCACAAAATCAGCAAAACGTGCTGGTGGTTTGGCACACCGCCCAGCACGAGAAACCTGTACTGGAGTACCCATAGGAAAAGAGGACCCCTCCAAACTAAGGCCGGAACTAACACCAAACTCAGGTGGGGGAATCGAGGTCCCTGAATCATAACCATCTGGTGACAGAGCAAGGCCTGGAGGCCCGAGAGATGGTAAACACACAGATGGAGCCCGGGACGGGCCAGTCAGTGGAAAGGTCACAGGAAGGCAGTAGCGCCGCAGTCGGTCATAGTGTACAGTTTGGATGGGAGCCTCATCTCCAAATGGGCTACTGATCACATAGGTAACCCCAACCACGTTGTCCCTGTCCAGTCTCCGCTGCACACTGTAAGGACCTTTCCAATGGGGAGCCAGTTTACGACGGCTCTCCGTCGGATCATTTAACCACACCAGGTCCCCGGGCTCATATGGCTGATGTCGTTGTCCTCTGTCGTAGAATGCTCTCTGTTTGTCACTGGCAGTTACGCTGTTGTCCCTACACTGCCGAAAAGCAGTCTGTAGGCGTCTCTGCAGGGAAAGAACAAACTCATTCGAAGAATCCTGCCCGGGACCACATTGCAGGCTCGGGCCCAGCACCATGTCCACTGGAGTGCGAGCCTCTCGCCCATGGGTGAGAAAATAAGGAGTAAACCCAGTACTGGAGTGCACGCTAGTGTTGTAAGCAAATGCTACATGTGCCAGGAAAGAGTCCCACTCACCCTCACATGCCAGTAGAATCTTAGCAAGCTGATCAATAAGGGTTCTATTCAGTCTTTCCACCATGCCATCTGATTTGGGGTTGTAGGGTGTGGTATGTGTTTTTTTTACCCCCAACCTTTCACACAAAAGTTTAACAACCTCAGATTCAAACTGTCGGCCCATGTCCGTATGAAGAGTTTCCATCACCCCATGCTCGAGAATATGCCTATTAAAGAGGCATTCAGCCACGGTGGAGGCTCTCTGGTCAGTTATGGCATAAAGATTAACGAACTTCGTGAAGTAGTCTTCAACGACCAAAACATAACGGTTGCCCTTTGAAGTGATGGGCAACTCCAGTATGTCGGCCGCAACACGTTGGAAAGGACGCTGTGCTAAAGAGGACTTCATAGGGGCTTGCTGATGGGGAACTGGGGACTTGCGTCTCTGGCAAGCATAACACTGGTCACACCACGCACGGATGTCCGCATACATACTGGGCCAGTAGCACACGCTGCGTGCCCGAGCCAAGGTTCGCTCAACCGCGAGGTGGGCAGACAATGGACCACCATGCAGATGGCGCAAAACCTCGGGAACCATGGCGCCTGGTACGACAATCTGCCGAGTCTGCTCCACATCTGACAATGCAACCACCCTGCACAAAATCCCGTCGACCAGAGCCATCCGTGGAAACTCATGCCACAAAATCCTAATTCCCCGGCCAGCACCTTTTATTCTCCCTCGTGGTGGTCTTTGGCCTACTTTAAGCCAGTTTAGGACACAGGCAATATCTGGGTCCCTCACCTGGAGCTGCTTAACGTCAGAGCCATCATGAGACAGGGATTGAATCATGACCTGATCAGCCTGAACATCAGGCTCAATAGGTCTGGGCATGTCAGAGGCCGACACATTCTGGGGGGACTCCTCTGGGGCTCCAACAGAGCACACCATGCTGGCAGAAAAATCAGCGGTTTGTGTCCCCGAACTTGCCGCTGCTACAGGCAAGACAGGACACCGAGATAAAGCATCAGCATTGGTATGATGCACTCCGTTCTTATGAACAATCACCCAGTCGTATGGGTCCAACTCAAGAGCCCAGCGACTACGGCGACCTGTATGGTCATTGTCAACAGGGAGCCGCCTTAGACCAAGTAAGGGTCTGTGGTCAGTAACGATGGTAAAAGGCCGTAGGCCTAGGTAATGTCTAAAGTTTCGGACCGACCACACTATTGCCCACAGCTCCCTATCATACGTGGACCACTTGCGCTCCGCTGCAGTGAGAGCATGGCTGGCGTATGCAACAACTCTCTCCAGACCATCACAGGTCTGCGCGAGCACAGCTCCAACTGCAGTCTGGGACGCGTCTGTGTATAAAACAAAAGGTTGTGCAAAGTCAGGGTGACACATTACAGGTTCAGAACACAGCGTGTTCCGTAGGAACTCGAAAGCCTCATAGCATTCTGCTGTCCACAGAAGAGGGGCATTTTTCCCAGTGAGGCGGACAAGAGGTGAGGCTCTTTGCGCAAAATCCTTCACAAACCTCCGATAATATGAACAGAGGCCAAGGAAAGCACGCACCTCCGTCGCGGAACGAGGGATGGGCCAGTTCTCCACCTTGCATGTGTTCCGGGGATCCGGACGTAGCCCCTCCGCCGAGATGACGTGACCCAAAAACACTACACGGTCACGTGCCAACTGACATTTCGTTGCCTTCAGTCGCAAGCCTGCAGACCTAATCCTTGACAGCACCTCGTCCAGCGCCACCACATGCTCACTAAAGGACTTACTGTAAATAAGTATGTCATCAAGGTATACCATACAGATCTGCCAGGGGAGGCCTTTAAGCACTAGCTCCATGACTCTTTGGAAGGTTGCTGGAGCATTGGTCAGACCCATTGGCATTGACCTAAACTGGTACAGCCCACGTCCGGTAGTGAATGCAGTCTTTTCACGGTCTTCTTCAGCTACCTCAACTTGCCAGTAGCCATCTGAGAAATCTAATGTACTGAACCATGTGGCCCCAGCGAGAGCATCCAATGTGTCATCCACCCGTGGAAGGGGGTGCGAATCCTTCACCGTAATGGCATTTAGGCCCCTGTAGTCAACACAGAACCTCCACGTATTATCCTTTTTCCTAACCAGAACTACAGGAGAGGACCATGGGCTACAACTTTCCCCAATGACACCGTCAGCCAAAAGCTGCTGCACCTGTTTGTCCATCTCCCTACGCTTGTCTGGAGAGGTACGGTAAGCTCGTTGCTTAACTGGGGAATGGTTGCTGGTATTAATCCTGTGTTTGATCCTGCCGTCATTTTTGGAAAAACCCCGCCCAGAACGGAAAACTTCCTGATGTTTGTACAACACAGCATGCAGCTGTTCTTTCTGGGTGTCCGACAAACGGCAGCCAGATAGATCCGGCAAGGTTATTTGCTGATGACCAGAGTCCACACAGTCCGTAGGTTCAAAAACATCACACTTGTCAACCTGATAGAGAACCCCTAAGTGTGACCCAGTGTGCATGTGTAGCTCATGGTCAGTTGGATTAAGCAGCCGCGCAACAGTGAGCCCATCCTTCACCGGCGCCACTGTACGCGCAACCACAAACTCCACACTGTCACGAGCCTCTGGCTCAAGGTACCCCATGTAAGAGTCAATGTGTGGACCCGTGGGTCGGGGGAGTTCTACCTGCACGGGAACAACCATTTCACAGTATGGCGGAACACTGACATCTGTGGACATAGTTACGTTGCAACATTTTGGGATAAAATCTGCAGCATGCAACAGAGGAATGTCTATCCCTTTAAGGTGAACAAACCCCCCAGCCACATCTAGAACAGCCTGATATGCAATCATGAAATCAAGACCCAAAAGAACTTTTTGTGTAGCCCCCCTGACAATATGTACAGTCTGTTCTACGTAAACCTCGCTCAGACAGATTGCAACAGTCATAGTTCCGAGCGTGTCCAAAAGTTGTCCATTAACAGCATGAGCAAATGTGTACTCGGCACCAAGTACGCGTTTGCGTAGGGCCGGGATCGAGGTTCTGAAGTCCTCCGAAAATAATGAAATGTTCGAACCAGAGTCAAGTAGAACAGCAACCTCTACCCCCTCAATCAGTCCTTTTACATAGGATGTATGTTTGAACTCACCCATCGGTCTGTAGTCCATTGACGCGACATCAGCCACAACTGATGAGCGTCCACTGTGACCCTCAGCGGGAAAAACTGGTGTCCGGGTCTCAACACCAGTTACCGGTAGTTTCCCTGGTTCCGTCCAGCTGGAGAAGGTGAACGCTGAGAGGGAGATCGAAATCTCACACTCCTCCTCCACTGAGGTCCCTCACTGGGGTGCGATCTCTGGGGGCTCCTGCTCCCCAAACGGTTTGCCGGGTCATCTGGTGAACCTTCCTTGGACCCCCTCGAAGGAGCAAGCCATTCCTCGTCGCGTCCATCCGAACATCCTCCTCGGGAAAAGCGTCCCCCTCCGTGAAACCCCGGTTGGTGCACCCTCGCAGCGGATCGGCAGCCATCTCCACCACAGTCGCACGAACACGGACGACGCTGGTCCATGTGCGCTCCACGGTTCGACAGACGAGCCCGTCTGTCATCCCCCACGTCGCGGCTACTCGCCTTCATATCCATCACATCCATCTGTAATTTGTCCATCCTTGCCGTCAGCCGCTCCACAGCACCAAGGAGAATCTCTGTGTCCTTATTATCACAGCCCCTATCAGCGGTACCAGCAGGAGAAAGTGTAGCCACGGTCACCGGGCCATTCGCGAAGTTGCCGGTCTGCGTCCCTGCGGCCAAGGCCAGCCTAGCCCGCTCACAACGTCCAGCTATAATCAGGGCCTCGTCCAGATCAGTAGCCCCCTGTTCGTGACATTTAGCACGGAGGCCCGGGTCCAGACCGGCGAGGAAACGCCTAAACTTTTCTCCATTTTGCGCCCTGGCGTCGTACTCAGGAAAAGCCTCCGTGACAAGCCTCGAAATATCAGCCGCATATATCTCCAAACTCTCATTAGCCAGCCTAGGCCGAGCAGAAACACAGGTCTGGAAGTACAATATGAACTGTTTCTGTCCAAATGCCTCATTTAGCTTCTCCTTTACACGGTCAAAGTCACCTTGCGTAGCTGCAGGAAGGCTTTCCCACAGAAGAAAAGCGGCTCCGTCCAGTCTAGTGGGCAAAAGAGCAGCCAAATTGGCGGTGTAACTCCGTCTTCCCGCCCCTCGGGTTTGGGCGCGAACCGCAGCCTCAAACTGTTTAATCCACGTAGCGAAGAGTTTACGCCCGTCGCCACAAAATGGCGCGGGCAGCTCCACTCTGATGTTACACACATCCTCAGTCCAACCTGCGCCAAGCTTGTCCTCGTCCAAACCGGTACAAGAGCCTCCGAACATTGTCCTGCGGTCCTGCGTAGCCTTCTCACGAGCCACGTCCCGGGGGTGAACGTCGCCAAACACCGCTGCCACCAATGTAAACGTGCGAGCTGTAATGGCTCGGCTCGTAGTCTCAGGACCAAAAGAAGAGAAAGAAGAGGCGAAATGTCTTTGGAGTACGGGAACACGTCTCCGTTTATTTATTACCGAACCGGTTAGCTCAACTCCCTGCGCGCGAATGACCCACGGGAGAGAGAGACTGGTGACTCCACCCTTCAGTCCAGGAGTTCAAAGTTCGCCGCACATGCGCACAACACATCACCCGCTTACACTTCTACTAACAGGGATCCTCTCTCCTGGATGCCAAACCAACAACAGCCTTCCTTGTCGTGAGTCAAGATGGGTGAGTCCATGAATGTTAAGTGACAGTGTGACATAGATCTGTCAGGCTTTTCTGAACTGAGTGTTTTTACATCTATTTTCTACCAGAACCTAATGGAGGAGATTCGTAGGTGTAGGAGACTTTTTCATGTTCAGCCTGCCTGTTAAGTCAGAGTGACTGATTGTATTTAAAAACAAAAGGTTTCTCAGTGAACCTGCTCTTTAACATAAAACATCTAAATCCATGTAACTATGTAAAGAAATGAAAGCAAACTACAAAGCTGGGTCTGTTGTGTATTAATGTTTACTCTAACTTTCATCAGGACTTTCCAAATAAATATAGAATTAGGAAAAATTATTTAAAAATGAGCTGTTGATAAGCCATGCAAGTTTATTCCATAAGGACTTTGCAGATTTTACTAAAAGTGATATTTTTCTCTGCAGAACATCATTTTACAAACTGGTAACTAGAGGCTAAGAGGCTAGCAGTCAAAGGAGACACTATTAGAATTTATCAGTGAGATTTGTTTCTAATCTCTGAAACCCTCCAGCTTTCACAAAAATACACATAAACTCACATTTAAACTGTCAACATTTCCCATTTTTTTTATCTTTAGCCTTGTTTAAAAGACTCTGGAAAGGCTAAAGCTGCTCCGAAAATCAGCTCAGCACATTTTGTGAGCGTTTGTGCATGTATTATATGACACAGATGTGTGTGTGTCAGAAGTCAGAAGAGGCAATGTTACATTTTAGAGCAATAAAGTCAAAATAAAATAAAACATGTTTCCTGTGCAAAATATTGCTAAGAGACTGAGTTGCCCCAAGGTCTTCCAGCAATAGATTGCTGCTGAAGTAAAATACGCCTGCAAAGATAAAAGTTGAAAGGTTAAACAGCTCACGGACAGAAGATGGAGAAGCAATCTGCTTCAAGGACTTAAATAAATCCCTTTCAAGCATCAATGGAATATTTGGTGTTCTGAGACATCCTACATTTTTAAGTTTAAACTTTGAAGGCGATTGAAAGTAGATTATTTTTGAGAGGTTCTGACATTAAAATTTCAAATTGCTCATCTTTCTTTCAAAAGTGTTACACTTTAAAAGTTACATTTGGTGCTTTGGTTTATCAGAACCTCAAAAGGTTAAAAGGACAGATTCAGATGAAGAAATATTAGATATTATTTGGTTGTTAAAAGTGCAGTATATGTCTTAAGATACTTTTTTAATACCTAGAGAAACTAGATGCTTATGTAAAATATGAGTATTTAGTGCTACATTATGGGATGATAGCAAAGCAAAAACATTTTTTTCCATATTGGGTTATTTAGGATTTTCTTTCCTTTTTTATTTCTAAAGATGACATAATCAGTTTCATTACCTGGATTAATGCAACTTTTACTCGTAAGCAACACTGAAAGTTTTAATTTTATTCTTTATTCTTGTACATAAGTGAGCTATTAAAATTGTCACGTTCAGATTAGGAGGAGTATGACCCAATATGCAGAGCACCAGACGACATGAGGCAGGAGTAATTGAAAAAAGGGTAGAATCCTTTATTTGGAAGTCTTTATCCAAAAAACGATGGACAGGAAGTCAAGCCAGGTATCCAGAAAACAGGAACAAGTTCAGGAGTCACAAAAACAGGTAGGAGTCACAGATTTTACACGGGGGAACAAAACACGCTGACAACAACAGTGGACCGACAAGACAGAGTGACAAGACAAGGTTTTTATAAACAGAGAGGAACAATTAGGGAAATAGGCAGCAGGTGTGTGGAGTGAGGGCTGGAGGGAAAGCAGGTAAATACAATTATCTAAATGGGGAACAGAACCAGAGGAGGGCAGATAAACCTAAAACTAAAACACGGATGACTAAACTCAAAGAGTGAGGGATGTCTACAGAGGGCTGGGGATAATAATGGGACACAAAAGGAAAACCTGGAGTGGGAACTGGAGGGGCTGGGGAACAAAGGGACACAGAACATGCCAAAAATATAAATGATAGAAATTAGGAATGGGCGTTAATGATCAGATTTGATTTTACAAATACTAACTTAAAATGTGAATTATGAACCAGAATCCAGCATTAAAATGATGCAAGGCCCTGTAGCTTATTGTTGCACATTTGCATGGCCATAATATGGAAGCCTGTCCCCGCCACGCTGATAAAAAACAAACAAAAAAACTTTAATCTCATAATTATGACTTACTGTGGGTATTTCACAATTATGGGACAGGTAAGCCATAATTATAAGATGGAAATTTTTATTATTTTAACCAGAGTTGTGGGAATAGGCTTGCATACCTTAAAGAGCAAATCACCCCTCACCAGAGTCTTACTCCACTCCCATTTCCTGCTTGAACAATGTGCCACAGCCTGGCAGACTGAGAGGGCGGAGTCTCTAACAAACACACACACACACAGAGACTCACAACGACATTGTGCCATCGTATCGTACCAGCTAACGTCATGGCGTATCTCTTAGCCCAGGGGTTGGCAACCTTTTCCCATCAAAGAGCCATTATTCCCCGTCTACCACAGTAAAGAAAACACCGGGAGCCACAGCATCTAGGCCTGTGCAGGTGCTGCTTTTTGACACGTCTCACACGTCTCCTTTTAAAATATGTTTTAACTGTTGAGAATACAAATCCAGTTTATGTTTTGTTGAACTGTTGTAATTAAACTTTGTAAAGAATGAAACTTTACATTAAACAATGTTGAAAAGGAAAGAAAAGGGTCAGATAAATTCCTTCTTAAAGAAGACGTTACAGGTCTGTGAGAGCTAGAGATTTTCCTTGTTTGAAGTGACCAAATACTTATTTTCCACCCTGATTTACAAATAAATTCTTTAAAAATCCTGCCATGTGAATTCATGGATTTTTTTCACATTCTGTCTCTCACAGTTGAAGTGTACCTATGATGAATATTACTGACCTCTGTCATCATTTTAAGTGGGAGAACTTGCACAATCGGTGGCTGACTAAAAACTTTTTTGCCCCACTGTAAAATACGGTAAAATAATTACTAGGGCATATGTCGATGGGTAAAAGGGTAAAACCCAGTGCATTTAACATAAAAATGGGTTGAAATATGACGGAGCTCTTGGAGGGACACTTCTGTGTTCCATTCTTCCACCCGGTTCTCCCCGGCGGTCAGCCCGGTGCATGTCTGACCGATGCGACGCCAACTAGCTGCTGCGCGGGCTGACCGCTCGTGGAGCTCTCGGACTCGTAGAGAGACCTGACCACAGAAATACTGCAGCTCAATTCCCTACCTGAATGCAAAGTTTGAGAGACGTGGTTCACTTAGGTCTGCACTGCCTTCGGGCTAATTTGTCAAGTTCACAAAATGTGGAACGGGATGTAAGGTTAGAATCAGCGGCGAATCGGAACATATCTCGAAGCCCTGGCCGACGAAACGGTCCACATGATTATTACTGTCAGGCTCGGAGAAAATTCGGGTTGTTTTCGTGTCAGTCGATTCTGCAACAGTGACTCTAACTAACGAAGCACTAGTTGACAGACATCATTACAGCGTGAAATCCAGCACAGCGTGACACGGTTCTGTAAGGAATTCTGTTCAGGAGGTCGCATTTCAGGCTCTCCACATCATATGTGACTGACTTTTACTTTATAATAACGATCACACACTAGGAATGTTATAAAGTGCCTATATAGGACAGTTTCTTTTGTATATTATCTGACTTTATAAACTCCCAACAACAATGTGCTTCTATTTTTTTTTCAGGTTAAATCTACCCAAGACATTGGCTGTCAGACTGATTTAGTAGTCTGCAAGAATGCACTTGTCCAGGCTGACGTGAAGCCTTAAGCCTGGTTTATGCTTCTCTGTCAGCTCCACAAGGGACAGACACGCACGGATTGACAGAAGCATTTTGCTCTCACAGTTCTCCGTCACTTCTCCGTCTCCTGGAGAGTGTTGCAAAGCAATTGCCCGGCAAGACCACAGAGGGCGTAGCGCTGTTCTGTGGTATCCTGTCATGTATCGGTCCAAGATCGTTTGTTTATATTGTGTTTTTTGTGTATATAAGAGACTTTTAACACGGACATATTTGTCTCTCATTCTCCCACCGCTTCATGCGCTCCCCACCTCTAAACCCAAGTTTCCTGTCATTTCCGTCCACAAATAAAACGTTTGCTGCGCATCTTTTCACTCCTCCAGTCACGGGAGGATGAAACGTTCATATTTTTAGAGTTTTTTTCGCGAGGTATTCTTCAAGCTTCTCCGTGTCTGCCGCTAGTTAAACTCGGCTCTCTTTGCAATGGCGGCGCTGTAAACAACAGCGGCGTCCTGACCAATCACAAGCTTGCGTAATCCGTTTCGTTCGACGGATGTTTAAAAAAGTGGGCTCGACTCCGTATGTACTTGCGTGCCTGCCGGATCCCTACGCAAGGACGTATAATGGCGTTGCGTCTGCTCCATAATGACGCAGACGGCATAGGCGTCATTTTAACCGGGGACGCCGGGGACATGTCCCCGGCAAAATTTGTGATTGGCAGCTGTGTCCCCCCCACTTTCAAAAAAGCCTGCTGATGAGGATTTTTGTTTTACCAGCTCAGATCTTATACCAGGGGTCGGCAACCTGTTCCCATCAAAGAGCCATTATTACCCATTTCCCACATTTTGGACGGACCTTAATAAGCAGTGACTTAAGTGAAGCAGGCAGGTCGTGCTAGAAATTTTAGTTTAAAAAGGCGTCATAAATGTGTTCCATCATTTTTATTTATAAAATATGAAGTAAAAACTCACAATTTAATTTTCATTCATTTGTCATTAATATTTAGTCCACACCCGTGCGTCAAGTGGACCATCTTCCAGTAAACGCAAAGCGTCCAGCCCACCTCTCCAAATGCGTAAAATGTGCATCAGCCGCTAGTTAGGCGCGCCGCTTGCACCATCAGCTGATCAGCCCAGACAAGAGCAGAGCAAATAGAGAAAGAATAGAGGATAATTCTGTCTGGATGTGGATGGAGATTACATTTTACAGCACCCTGATCTAAACCATCACCTGGCTTCTAGTCCATGCTATCAGCATTATTTTAATTGGTGTGTGTGTGTGTATGTGTGTGTGTGTGTTTTCCACTTCAAACACTGGTCTAACCAACCAGACCAGCGTGTCCAGTAACACATTAATGTTACAATTAAACAGTTTCACTTCATGTAGGCTAGGAACGTTTCACCTGCCGTGGCCCGACTGCTTCTGCTCCACATAAACTTTGTGCGTGATCAAATGTCTCTACGCGTCATGCGTCTCCATATTAGAGACGGGAACAAGCGCTGTTCAGCCAAAGTTTCATAATTTCATAAAAAGAACATTTTTCCAAGTGACACATCCCTCAGAGAGACCGGGTTTCCAGACTGTTTCAGTGGGAGGAAATCTTATCGCATGCGGCGTGGTTCTGCACTGCGCTGCGAACCCCAGATCTTCAGCTCACTGTCCACCGTGTGCGCTCCGAGCCACACTGAACACAGTGTCCAGTATAAAGCTCTGATGTTCTGATGGGAATATTTTACCTCCACGATGTGCATTAACGATTAAAATGTCAGCTCATCCATGCGCATCAGTGTGCGTCGGGGTAATTCTTTCAAACCAAGCAACATCCTTGAGTTCATCTGTCAAAATAAACAGTCAAATGGAAATATATGTAACCTGCCGTTTAACTGTTTTGCCTTCCTGTGAAGATTGTTGCAAAGAGAAACAACTAAACTTGATTAACCCCAGAGCCACCCAGACAACCACAGCGCATGCGGGAAGATTCCTCCCACTGAAGCGAGTGTTTTCCAAACCCTGTCTCTCAGAGACTTGTCACTTAGAAAATGTTCCCTGATTATGAAACTTTGGCTGAATAGTGCTTGTTCCTGTCTCCAATGTGGCGACGCATCCAGGAGCCGTCTGAGGAGAATCCCAGAATCTCACATCCTCTTCAGCTCAGAAAGCGCCTATGATTACGCACAAGCATGACCCATCAACCCGGTCTCACAGTAAGACCGGGTTGGACCTGTTCAGGTTTACGCAGACAATCTTTACATTTAGAATTGGCATACAGATGTAAAATTAATGCAGTAAAATATAAAGCATTTTATTCAAATATCCATTCATTATTTTACAAGCACAGAGAGCCGCATCAGATGGATGGAAGAGCCGCAAGCGGCTCCAGAGCCGCGGGTTGCCGACCCCTGTGCTAGCCTACTTTATTGTCCCCAGCAATTTTTAAACCCCACTCAAGTGTATGGTTATTGTCCCCAGCAATTCTGAAAACAAACTGACGCCCTTGATTGGATCCACCAGACGACGACGCCGGCCTTGGAGGTTCCTTGGTTGAGAGCTCAGCAGGGCCGGACTGGACCGCCTTGTCCCTTGGGGCCCTGCGCACACTCAATTGAAAGCTTTTTTTTCCATGGCGTCATCATCAGGGTTTTGTAATAAATGTCCCTTTTTAATTTGCTGTCGCACTGCTTGACTTGTTTTTTTTAGAACTTATTTTAATCCTTTTAACA